GACTGATGGGTGAATTAACTGAACAATAAACAACAAGAAATGAAATCTGGCCAGGCACTGTGGCTCATACCTGTAATCCCAGCACTTTGGGAGGCTGAGGCAGGTGGATTGCCTGAGCTCAGGAGTTTTAGACCAGCCTGGGCAACATGGTGAAACCCTGTCTCTACTAAAATACAAACAATTAGCCAGGCGAGGCAGCATGCACCTGTAATCCCAGCTACTTGGGAGGCTGAGACAGGAGAATTGCTTGAACCTGGGAGGCAGAGGTTGCAGTGAGCCAAGATCTCACCACTGCACCAGCCTGGGTGACAGAGCAAGGCTGTCTCAAAAAACAAAAACAAAAACAAACAAAAACAAAAGAAATGAAATCTGTCTGACATCTAGATCAATAAAAACAGACCTTGAATTTGTCTTTATCTTGGAAAGCAATTGCTTAAGCTTAAGAACTCTAAAAAGAAATCTACAAAACAGAAACGGCCAACTGTTGTTCCCATCCTCCAATTTCAACGGGAAATATAAGAAAATTTGAATTACCTGGCCCCAAGTTACTAGAAATCACACAGTTAAATCTAAGTGCCTCTTTGCATTCCATGAAAAAACTTGCTAATAATCTTTATATGTATGAGTTAAAATTTATATCAAACTATGCTAAGTTGTCAATTATCTAAAATTTAATTTAAAGAATGGTTATTAAGGTTTTCAAACACTATTTATATATGTGTTTCTCTTAGTCTTGAGACAATCAGCTTATAAAAATAGACTATTTTAAGATATTTACAACAAATATATTGAATTTAAGTAAATCTATCTTGGCATTTGTCTGGCATATATTACTGAGAAAACTATGCATTCTGGAGCTTTCTATTAATATTACCATTAATAAAACCTATCCAACATTTATCGTTCTAAGCTAACACCAAGTTAAATTCTGGGAATACCAATTATGAAAAGAATATATTAATAGTAGATGATTCTCAGAGTCTAATAAAATGGTGGGAAAGATATTTATAAGTAAATAGTTATAAAAATGTGATAAATGATAAAATAGAAGGGAGTTCAAGAAGCTCTGTCTGGATGATACCAATTCTAACAGCAGGGTTTTCTGACTTTTTTTTGGTACCTGTAAGATTTTATACCTCTCCAAAAATGGTGTTCAATCAGTATCTGTTGAATTGAAATTCAAGGTTAGGCTTGATATTAACAAAAAACATAAAATAAAACAGCAAATTAAAATGAGTAAATAAAAATAGAAAGTAAAGGTGTTACATAATTTAAAAGACCACCCAAAGAAATGTTTCACAACTAATTTTGCAGTGAACTCTTTAAGAAAAAGCCACTTCTAAATTTGCCCTAGAAAATAATAAAGGTGTTGAACTGTATTAGATTTTACTGAAGGCCTGAGACCCCTCGCTGTGGGAAATACATTAACTTTAAAATCGACAAAAAAACTGACCCCTTCTCTGTTTAAGGGTTAGTATTTAAACTTCTGCAACAACCACATTCACTTTGCTCCAAGGTTTAGACTGCAAATTCAAAATCCAGTGATTATTCAAAATTTGTTCATTAATTCATCTATTTTTTGCCATTTCCAATTTGTTTTTCTGCTGGACCTGACTGAGCAAGTGTCCCATTCTTGGCATGTAATGCCACTCTGTTACCATCTGAATTAAAGTTTCCTTGGCAAATTTTCTATTGCTACTCATCCACAAATTGGGAATACTCTCTGGCCTCTTGGTGTTATAGGGTCATCTTGAGATCAATTGAAAATGCATATATAATTTACATTTATATTTCGTTAGTAAAATGCCCTGTAATCTGCTACTTTTGCTACTCTGTTCTTGACCTCCTCCATATGAAAAAGTTATTTTAGCTGTAGTTGATGAACACCCTTCATAGTCTACTTGCTGTGCTTCATATTGATGTGACTTTGTTATTTATGACAAACAACTTGTTACATTTCTAAACTTTAGGATGGTACTTTCATTTGAACTAGCAAAAAGGGTACAATTCACTTATCTTCAATAAAGGTTACATTTCTATTGTTACATATCTAAACTTTTGGATGGTACTTTCATTTGAACAAGCAAAAAGGATACAATTCACTTTATTGTCAATAAAATGTTTAGTGATATAAAAGTTGTTGGCATAAAAGCACTGATATCAATCAAGGTTAAAATAGCAATTTATATTGGGAGCATTACTTAGAGAAGTTGATCTGAACATCAGGATAAGTTAAGAGGCTTGCTTCAAATAAAAATTCCAAGATCTCATCTCTGATCCAGTGGATAAGATCTGGATGGGGACAGGGGACACTGTAAATCTGCCCTTTAAACAGGCTTCCTAGCCAATTCTTAAGTACAGTAAGTCCTCACTTAATGCTGTCCACAGGTTCTTGAATACTATGACTTCAAGCAAGCTGATATACGATAACAATTTTACCAGAGGCTATTGATATAAATGAGAGTTAAGTTGCTATGGGTTATTGCTGGTCATAAAAACAGCACGAAACTTCTAAAGACCAAACACTTCGAATATTAAACATTGAAACAAATGTTAGCCATACATACATTTAAGAAAGATTAATGGCCGGGTGCAGTGGCTCATGCCAGTAATCCCAGCATTTTGGGAGGTCAAGGAGGGCAAATCATTTGAGGTCAGGGGTTCGAGACCAGCCTGGCCAACATGATGAAACCCTGTCTTTTCTAAAAACACAAAAAAATTAGCCGGGCGTGGTGGCAGGTGCCTGTAATCCCAGCTACTGAGAGGCTGAGGCAGGAGAATCGCTTGAACCAGGAGGCGGAGGTTGCAGTGGGCCGAGATCATGCCACTGCACTCTAGCCTGGGTGACTGAGTGAGACTCTGTCTCAAAACAAAGCAAAACAAAAAGATTAATAAAAACAAGTAAAATAATTATTTACCCAGGATCATGGGTGGCCAGAGCCCGACGCAGCCAGGACCCCTGTGGACAGGATGACATCCCATCGCAGGGCAGAGTCACACACACATTCACATTTGCTCACACTGGGACCACAGAGAGCTGCCAGTTCATCTCACTTTCACAGCTTTGGGATATGGGAGGGAACAGGAGTACCTGGCAAAAACCAACACAGACATGGGGAGAATGGGCAAACTCCACACACACAGTGACCCCAGCTGGAAATCAACTTTTTGTTCTTATCAACATTATAACGAATGGACATTGAACACCACAATGCTATTCAAGGATCCACTGCACTACAGCTTGAGCACTAGGACCGTAGGCCCAGATATTTATGTTGCCCATTCCCAGTAACATCTCTGGATAGCTGAGGCATGTGGCCAGCTGGGTGGCGGACTGGAAGGGTGAGGGGGAGGGGGTGTGGCTAATGGTTCTCAGCAGAGTCAGTGGCGCAAACCTGTGCAAGGAGCACTGTCCAGCTGCGTGGGCCTCCTGCCCGCGTGGCCCAGCCCGGTACAGCAGCTCTGTTTTTGTCTGATTTATACAGAGATTCCCTCAGATTTGTCTCATCAAAGGGTTCTACTGCTAAAACAAGTCTGAAAAATCATCAATGTAGGGCACTGAAAAGAGGCTAATACAAACTGTCACAAGAACAGAAAACAAAACACCACATGTTCTCACTCATAAGTGGGTGTTGAACAATGAGAACACATGGACACAGGGAGGGGAGCATCACTCAGTGGGGCTTAAAGAATAATGATAAAGAGAGAAAATAGGCTCATAGCTCTGGTGTCCGGGGAGCTGGGTGCTGGCACCTCTCTTGGCATGTCCCATCTGATGGACTTTTTGCTAGGACGTGTAAAGTCTGACTATGCATGGTGACCCCATGACCCACACATACACCTCCAGAGGGCCTTGTAGAATGAGAAAACCCGAAGTAACTGGAAAGCAGAAGGACGATCAACCCCTGCAGCCCCTAACTAACCTGAGACATTCTTCTATTGTTTCTTATTCCGGCCTCAACTGACAAGGCCATTGGACTTTGTAACTGACCTTGTGAGTCCAGACCCTAAGAACCCCTCCCAGCTTGCAAACCTACAACCCCCTCCCAGCTTGCAAAAAAACCGCCCTAAACTGTAACTTCTGTACCTTTCCACTGCTTACCCCAAACCTATAAAACCAACTCCGATCCCACCACCCTCTGCTGACTCTTTTTGGACTCAGCCCGCCCGCACCAGGGTGAATAAGCAGCCACGTTGCTCACACAAAGCATGTTTGGGGGTCTCTTTATCCAGAGCACATTTTTTTTTTTTTTTTGAGATGGAGTTTCACTCTTGTTGCCCAGGCTGGAGTGCAATGGCGCAATCTCGGCTCACCGCAGCCTCCGCCTCCTGGGTTCAGGCAATTCTCCTGCCTCAGCCTCCTGAGTAGCTGGGATTACAGGCACGCGCCACCATGCCCAGCTGATTTTTTGTATTTTTAGTAGAGACGGGGTTTCACCATGTTGACCAGGATGGGCTGGGATGATAGGTGTGAGCCACTGCGCCCGGCCACATGTTTTAACAATAGGTAAGTGTCAATACCTTCATTTGCAAAATGGTCACAACCCCATGCTTAGCTTACAGGGCGACTGAGGAAATCAAATCAGATAACTCAATGTATCTGACAGGAGGAATGCTGATCAAGATTTATTATGTTTGAGTGTACGATGGAGCGTAAGAGTGGACACATTTTACCTCTTCAAGTTATGGGATAGAACCACTGTCGTTCATTTTTGCCCAATACAAGATCACACTTTTTTTTCTTTTTTTGAGACGGAGTTTCGCTCTTGTTACCCAGGCTGGAGTGCAATGGCGCGATCTCGGCTCACCGCAACCTCCGCCTCCTGGGTTCAGGCAATTCTCCTGCCTCAGCCTCCTGAGTAGCTGGGACTACAGGCACGCGCCACCATGCCCAGCTAATGTTTTGTATTTTTAGTAAAGATCACACTTAAGCATTCCAATTTAATAAAGAGCCTTTGGAGGAAGAAAGAGAAGGGGAGGAGAAAGGGGGAACAACTCACCGACACGAATGCTTGAGATTTCGTTTCATTCAACTGAAGTTGCAGTTTCTTTTCATTGTCATAGACTCCATAGAGTCTTTTGGACCAGGTTTGAGGCACTCTGCTTTTGAATTTTAATGAGCTATATAGAGCAAATATCCTTTGTAAATCGAGGACCAGGCAGCTGCAGTTGTAGAAGATGACACCGAGTTCTTTCATCTGTGAAATTAAAATTGAAAGCATCAATGCCATATGTGTCTTAATGGTGTTATTTTCAGAGAAAAACATGCATAAGAATGAGGTAGTTGTGACATCTTTTTTCTTGCATTTGAAGTAAGTAGATATAGTTACATTATGGTACATAGAGGTTGATATGTTATAAAAATGCTAAATATTTAAGTAAAACTTTTGCTTGCTTTTTGTATTAGGTCTCCTGCAGATACTTTTGTTTATTCATCTATACTTTTCATATCAGTTCTTCAGATTTGCTTCCTAAACTCTAATTTTTTTTGCATGAATCATTAAATCAGGTAGCAAGAAAAAGGGAGCTTTTAATTGCAACATAACAGAATGGCTGCAATCATCGATTCTGGAGTCAGACTGCCTGGATTTAGGATCTGTTAATAGCTCCACAACTTTCTAGCTGTGTGACTTTGAACATACTTAATTTCTGGGCCTCAGCTTCTTCCATAAAATAGAGATAATAGTATTTATTTCATATGTTGCTATGAGACTTAAAATGCTTAATACATATAAGAAGCTAAGAACAGTGTCTATCACATGGTTATCACTAGCAATATGTTAGCAGTTATTCTTATTAACATTCCACAAGCCTTAAGAGTAATAGACGGATAGAATCTTACAACAAAAGACCACAGAGATGATTTTGTCCACCTCTCTCAAGGCATGGATGAGGAAACTGAAGCTCACATAAATAAGTAAAAATAGTAGACCCAAGTTAGAGATTTAGTCAGTGGGAAATTAAGGATTGAGTGCAGGTTTTCTGACCCTGAATCAAATACCCTCAGGAACATAGCTCCACTGGCTTCATTTGAAGCCCGTATCCCTTTGTAAAAATTGCAGATGATTTTTAATTTAGTCAATGAAACTATATGACATGAAATTTTGGTCATTAAAGAATGGTACACAAAAATATATGCTTTTTATGACCGGAATACCCATTGAGGGGTTATTAGGGAAAACTTGGCTCTCTAAAGACCTGGGGTCCATTGATAGTAAACCCCCTTTTTATACCTCCACTAAGCGCCTACCCAAGACTCTTTACTCAGGATGATAGGAGAGGTCTCCATCACGTATGAACCTGTCTCTCTTTGCTTCCAGGACTCCCCAGTACAACATGCCCTGGAAATCTTCCCATGTTCCTCTACACACATCTGTCATCCTCTTCCATCTCCACGGTAACCACAGGATAGATGGACACAAGTTATTTAACCCATAGATAGACATAATTCCTGCACTTTCCCCAATGCAAAATAAAGTAATAAGCATCCCCGCATATATATCTCTTTTTAAAATTTTTTCCTCCAGTCTAAGGTTCAACTCAGGTATAATATAACCCGCATATACATCTCTGTACACCTTCAATATAGATTCCTAGAATGAGATGTACAGACACATTAAAGACAATTAGCTGTTAAGAGAGATAGAGCAGGCAGGGCATATCAGGCATGTGCAAAGGCACTGAGGCTGGGGGAGACATAATGAGCTTTGTGGCAGAAGCTAAGTGAAAAAGAGGAGAATATGTATATATGTATGTAAATATTTTTTCTGATGGCAAGGGGTAAAACCGGAAAGATAGGAATATCCTCTACCTAGGGGCCTTTGTACAGGGATAAGCAATTTGCCTTTTATTCTGAGGTTCATGGGGAGGCAGGTAGTGAGGGGAGGGGCATGATCAGGCTGCACACTGGAAAGGTCCCTTTGATTGTGTTGTGAGAAGGGCAGGACAGCTGGGAGCAGGACATTCACACCCCAGGGCTTGGCAGTGGTAAAGGGAAAGATTTACCATTTTTATTTGTTATTATTTTTTAAATCTCAGAGATGTCCAGAAACTGTCTAGAGTAGCTGCTAATATGATTTATCTCACCCTAGGTTAGAGAGAGGCTCTCCCTGTGGTCTGCTGAGTCCTGGCTGACAGGGTCCCGACTACACTCTGCGTCGGACTTCATGCTTTTGCGCCTTTCCCAGACTGAGTTGCTGCTGCCACACTACCTTCTTCAAGGAGCCGTTAGCATTTCTTTGATTCTCAACTTTTCTGTCTTTAGCCTTTATAACTAGGCTCTGTGTTCGGCAATGGGAGTGGGAGAAGAAGGGGATGCTAAGACCTGGTTCTTGCGTGGGTCCATAGCTGCCTTATGGGTCAAAGGCTAGCAACACGTTTCCTTTCCTGCCAGACATAGGTGCATCTCTGGTCATTATCTAAACAAACAAACAAACAAAATAAACAAAAGTGCTGAACTCTGAGGCCAAAATGTAGATTGCAGGCTAGGATCTTCACCAACCAGATAAAGGGCCTTTGGCAAATGACTCAATTTCTTTAAGTCTTTGTGTGAACAAGGAGGGGATGGGCTCTAAAGCCTGTAAGGCCTTCCAACCTAGCCATCTATGAACATTACTGAGAGCTGGCATCAGGAGGCAATTTCCTGTTTACTTTGCAGCCTCTTTACCCTGCCTAATCTCTTTTTTTCACACTGTCCAGAGAACTCCTGTTTGCCTGTCAGAGCCAGCTCACTGTGCATGATTGTGGCTGGTGACCCTCCCTGGTTTTAAAGTCCCTCCAGGTTTGCATCTTTGTTCTGCTCCTTGTTAAATAGCATTGGATAAGACGATTTAACTCCCATTTCATTTCATTGTTCAACAAGGATAATATCCATCTCCAAGGTTTGCTGATAGAATTTAATAACTTTCATAATTTTTCTTTTACAGATAGCATCTTGCTCTGTCACCTAAGCTGGAGTGCAGTGATGCAATTAGAGTTTGCTGCAGCCTCGATCTCTTGGGGTCAAGTGATCTTCTCACCTCAGCCTCCTGAGTAGGTGGGACTACAGGCATGTGTCACCACATCCAGCTAACTTTTTAAAATATATTTTTTTGTAGAGATGGGATCTTGCTACGTGGTACAGGCAAGTCTTCAACTCCTGGCTCAAGCGATCTTTCCACCTTGGCCTCCCAAAGCGTTGGGATTACTTGTGTGCTTCACTGCACCCAACCAATACTCACAATTTTGATGGCGAGTACTGATGGAGTGCTTACTTGGTGAGCGCACTGAGCTGAGTAGTGTGCTCCTCAAATTCATGTCTACTCAGAACCTGTGGATGTGAAAATACCATCTTTCCAGATGCAAGTCAGGACAAGGACATATTGAATTAGGATGGGCCCTGAATCTAGTATTATGGATGTCCTTATAAGGAAAGGGGAATTTGGACGCAGAAACACAGATATAGAGCGGAGACAGCTGTCAATACCAGAGACTGAAAGGACGCATCTATCAAGCCAAGGAATGCCAATGACTGCTGGCAACCACCAGGAGAGGCAAAGAAAGATTCTTGCCTAGCGACTTCAGAGTGAGCATGGCCCTGCCTATACTTTGATTTCAGACTTCTAGCCTTCAGCATTGTGAGAGAACACATTTCTGTCCTTTGAAGCTACCAAGTTTGTGGTAATTTGTTATGGCAGCTCTAGGAAACTGATACCATGTGCCTCATCTACTTTAATCTTGACAGTGGGTCAGGTAGATACAATTTTTACTTCATTATACATAGGAGGGAATTGGGGCTTGGATAGTCTTTTTATTTTTGTAGGGATGGGTGGAGGATCTCACTATGTTGCTCAGGCTGGTCTTGAATTCCTGGCCTCTAGTGATCCTCCCATGCCAAAGGGCTGGGATTATAGGTGTTAGCCACCACACCTGGCCTGGGTAGCCTTTTTAGGCTGTCATTTGCCCACTGGTAAATGACATACCTGAGATTTGAACTTTGGTCTGACTCTGAAGCTTACATATTTAATCACTGTGCTGTTACACTGCATTTAGCCCATGGCTAGTACACAATCCATGTGTCTATGGTTATTAAGGCTTTGAAGCTTTTTCTGGCCCAATCCTTCTTTTGCTTTGTCTACCACTGTACTTGGTACATATAGCTGATGTGGCATCATAATTTTTTAAAAATTATACATTCGTTTCCCCTAAGGGGCTCTGAAGACAGGAGCTTGTCAGATTCCTATTTTTATTCCAGTGCCAGGTATGTAGAAATTGCTTAGGAATTGTCTACTGAATGACTGCCTGGCCTTGAAAATGAATAAACTGTGGTCATAGGTGAAAATAAGCTTCCTTCTCAACCCAGCAGCCCTAGTGCCAGCCAGCCTGATGCCTTCTGATTCTGAACACCTAAATCTAACAAGAATCTCTCTTTGGATGCAAGAGGCCTGGAGCAGCAAAGCTAAAGATGGTCACGAGAAACCCATTTGGCCATGTGAGCTCCAGAGATCCACCTGGAAGACTTTCACAAATATGGCACACAATGATTAGTATCAATGGTAAGTCTTAAACTGGTCAATGACCTAGCTATTAAACATGCTTCCCATGCCTACCAACAATGGGGTGCATCCTATACCTGCCAATAATGATGTACAGAGCCCAACACAGGGTTGTCTTTTGAATAGGAGATTGCATTTTAAAAAAATCATTGCTGGCTGGGTGTAGTGGCTACACCTGCAATCCCAGTACTTTGGCAGGCCGAGGCAGGTGGATCAGCTGAGGTCAGGAGTTCAAGATCAGCCTGGGCAACACGGTATAACCCTGTTTCTACTAAAAATACAACATAGTAGCCAGGCATGGTGGTGTGTACTTCTAATTCCAGCTACTTGAGGGGCTGAGACAGGAGAACCATTTGAACCTGGGGGGCGGAGGTTGTGGTAAGCAGGGACCACACCACTGCACTCCAGCCTGGGTGACACAGTAAGACTCAATCTCAAAAGAAAAGGAAAAAAAAGTAATGCTATTTTTACAGCAAAGGCAGTGCTAAGAAAAGAGTTCATATCCCTAAATTCCTACATCAAAAAGCCCGAAAGAGGACAAATAAAACAGACAATCTAAGGTCACACCTCAAGGAACTAGAGAAACAAGAACAAAACAAACCCAAACCCAGCAGAAGAAAGGAAACAACCAACCTCGGGCAGAATTAAAAGAAATTGAAACAAAC